TTCGTACAACAGTCACAATAACCGCCGACAATACAGCACTGGGGGTACCCATCATCGCAACAGTAGATCATAGCACAGGGACTGTCGCACACCCAACAGTTATTGCCAGAGTTATCGGGGTATGTGCTCACGTTGTGGCCTATAATTGCATTGTATATTATATTAGCAAGCATCACTTATTATAAAAATTAATTAATATACCTTGCTTAAATTCATTGACAAAAGTGGCTTTGAAACTGTCGGCCACTTTCGGTATAGTCTTCGCATATCTTTGGTTAACATTCTTGAAGTCACCTAATATTCAATCAAAATATTTATAGTAATGTATAATAGAAAATATTTAAAAAAATAAAAAGTAATAATACTCACCGATAGTGAACACAACTGTATAGGAGAGTCAATACAGCAATCATTTAACGCATGTTTGAAATAAAATTCAATTTGAAACCAATGTTTAATTAAAGAGTTAATTATTTGTTAAGATTTTGCTTGTTATGAAAATTGGAAAGATTTTCAGTTTCTTATATACCAAACAAAACGTGCTATTATTGCTGAAATGTTTTGTTTTTACTTGTAATCAATATTTTTCAGATTTCCTTAAAAATTGTAAGTATAACTCATAATCTTTAAAATACAATAAATAAATTATTTACAATAGCAATGCATTATTAATCTTATAAGATATCATATGAATTGTGTGCACACTTATGTAATTCTTATCATCCATTATAGCATTACCTCTATATAACTAATATTTTAACAAAATGTGATAATTATGTGTTCAAAGAGTTGTTTGTTTTTAATTAATAGATTACAAAGAATTTAATGAAAATATAATATTTGTTTTTCTAAATTAATTCATTTCTCATAACTATGAATAGAATTTCCAAAAATTTATTAATCCAGAAATTTCAAAATGATCATGTAAAACTAATAAAAAAGTGAAATTGATATAATTTGTATTAAAAATGAATTAATTGATTAAAGAATTGTATAAAACATAGATTCAAATAATCAACAAGTTAGTAAGAAATAAAGCTAATATTAAATTATAGTGCAAACTATTGAAAAACTAGATCGATTATTATAATTTTTTAAAAATAAAATAAATGTATTTAAAAAATACATAAAAAATATCAAACTGTTAGTTTCGTAAATTTCACTACACTTTGTTTCAATATGATTAAGAATAATTAAAATTTTGTTGATAATAAAAAATATTTTATTACGGTAACAAATTTTGTTTATACAGTACAGTATGTAAAATCTTAATTGTGTCAATCTTGTTTGTCAATTGAATATTGTTTTAACTAAAATTCTGGCCATTCGTTGACATCAAGTTCAACGATAGACTTTTGCGAATACTATTGAAAATAAAAATTAATTGAATTCATTCATATAATACTTTAAATATATATATATATTCAAACCTTGGGTCGCGATTGCTCATGAAATTGAAGTCAATTTCATTTACATTACAATTAGTGCCCAATTGTGGGTTAATAGTAGCCGTTGTATTGAGTGGTAGTTGTTGTGGAGTTGTATAGAGAGTGGTGTATCCCTGACCACCATTGGTAGCAATTTGGTTGCCAGTACTTAAAGTTACCTTGAAGTCATTTCCATTTGACAGTTGTATATCAAACTGACCCGAACATGATTTACCTCCTGTATTCACCTAATATTATACAGTAAATGGATTTATTTCTTTGTAAAAATACTTGTTGTCAATCATATTTACCACAACTTGATAATGATACAAACAATAACCAGGTTCCAACACGTTTCCAGTATTGATGTAATACTTATTGTTGGTGTCAGTCGTATCCCAATTGGATTTGTTGTCCCAATAATTGAGAT